GCTCGAGCTCTTCGTGGGGCTCTGGGCGTGGGCGGCCATCTTCCAACGGATGGGCCTCGCCATCCAGGTCTATCACGAGATGAGGCACCCCGACATCGCCCAGACGGCGTTCAGGCTATCGGACGCGGCCAGGTGGGAGCTCACTACGATTGCGCACTGCGCCACGGTCCTTCGCACGGACCTCGAGGCGCCTTGGCCCCCGGAAGTCTTCATGACGGACTCCAGCGACACGGGCCATGTAGCGGCGGTGACCGACGCGTCACTCGACGAGATCTGGAAGGACGCGCGCTACAGCGAGACGAGAGGATGGACGATCGCCACCGAGGACAGCTATACGTACCAAGATGAGGGCGCATGGGCGCCGCACGCGGGGGGCCGCGCCTACGACCTGGACGAGCTCGCCGAGTCGTCGGCCGAGGCTACGCCCCGCGTGACTCGGCGCGTCTACGCGGCGCTCTACCTCTTCGCGGAGAGGCGCCGAGAGGGAGACCTGGAGGAGGCGATCAACGAGCGGGCGGAAGTAAAGGGCTGCGAGGTCGGGTCCATCGATGCCGTGATCGACCCGAAGCACGACCTTACCGACGAGACGATTGTCGGCCAGCACCTGGGGCTGGCCCGCGCGGGGTACTTTCATGCGGTGGTCGCCTTCCCCCCGTGCTCGACCTGGAGCCGAGCGCCCGTCCTGGGCAGGGGGCCGAAGCCCTTGCAGACTCATAGCGAGCCGTGGGCCGGAGCGGCACCACCTTCACGGCCTTGGAGCGCCTCCGCCTGAGCATGGGTTCGCGCCTCATGCGGACCGCCATCATGGTGATTCGCACGGTCTGCTTTGCAGGAAGCATGGGCCTGCTGGAACATCCTGCGGACCCCGAGGAAGATCCCGACCTGTCCATCTGGAACCTCCCCGAGATGACAAACCTCGTCCAGCAGACGGGTGGCCAGGTCAACCGCATAGACCAGTGTCGCTACGGGGCGCCCTTGATGAAGCCTACCATGATCGCCATCTCTGGGAACTACCGACGGCAGAGCGGACTCTGCCGTGGATCGGCTCTGCCTGCAGTGCGATCACCGAGGGCAGCATCGAGCAGCTTTGCATGGACGAGCGGAACGAGGGCGGCCCGATGTTCGGACGTCCTCCGCCCAGGCATACCAGCTTCCGTGGTGTGCGGCGTTGGCAAGAAAGGTTCTCGAGACCTTCGCCCGCATGACCAAGGATGATGGGCCTGCTCTTCCACCACCACCATAAAGTGGAGAGAGAGAGAGGGGGTCCTCCTCCTCCTCCTCCTCCTCCTCGTCCTCCTCCTCCTCTTCTTCTTCGTCCTCCTCCTCCTCGTCCTCCTCCTCCTTCCCCCCTCCAGCTTATGGTGGTGGTTGTGGAAAACAGGCCCATCAGAGGAGGAGAAAGGTCCGGACCCGACGGGGGCACTCACGCCCCCCTCCGCGGCGACCTTCGGCCCTCCGAGGCCGGAGAGGGCGGGGAACGAGGTAGAGCGGGTCGACCGCCTCAGGGCCCCGCCGCCAACACCATAAGTAGTAGGGGGAGGGGGTCCTCCTCCTCCTCCTCCTCCTCCTCCTCCTCCTCCTCCTCCTCCTCCTCCTCCGTCCCCCCTTCAACTTATGGTGGTGGTGGAATACAAGCCCATCAGACCGCGTGAGGGTCCCGCCACTGGCTCCCGCCTGGATGCCCCTGGCGAGAAGGCGCCCGCTCTGCTTCGGGAAGTGGAGGATCACCGAGCACATGACAGAAACGAGGCACGGGCCATGAGCCGTGGTGGACCTTCGTCGCCACCTGGCCAGGTCGTCCTGAACGTGGAGGCGAAGGGTCCTGATCCTGACCGACAGCATGGTGGCGCTGGGGGCCTTGGGCAAGGGGCGCTCGAGCTCTCCCGCCCCGCTGCGCCTGTGCCGCCAGACGGCGGCGATTACCATGGCTTTCGGCATCTGCGGGTACTGCCGCTACCTTCCCTCGGAGCTGAACGTCGCCGACGGCCTCTCCAGGAGGGGGCTTCCTCGGGGCGGCGCCCGAGACGGTGGCAGCACACAGCGACCGGCATCCTACCTCGACCGGGGGCCTCGCGCACGACCTTCGCGACGTGGGCCGCTCGTGCACGGGCTACGCTGGTGGCTAGCTGTGCTGACGCTTGCGGCCGCCTGTCCAGCGGGCGCCGTCAGGCAGCGCCCGCCGAAGACAGGCGATGTAGGCTGGGAGTCGCGGTCCGCAAGTACCGTGGACCACGCCCTGGCCGAATACATGGACCTGCAGTGCTATCGAGATCGGCTTCGCCCAACGTGGGGATCGATCGTCCTCTTTGGGTTGCTGGTGATGTGGCCCGAACTCAGGAACCATCTTCCCCTGGCCTTGAGAAGCCTGAAGAGTTGGCAGAGACTGGTCGTCTCCGTCGAGGGCGGCCCGCTCCCCGAGGAGGCCATCTTCGCCATCGCCGTCTATTTCTTCGAGGCGGGGCTCTTGGAGGAGGCGATCTGGACGCCGGTGCAGCACGACGTCCACGGCCGCGAGCAGGACGTGGAGATGCTGCGCGGGGCCGACATCATCTGGGACGGGCGCTGCGTGGGTCTCCTCTTCGGCATCTCAGCCAGAGGCGAGGATGGCAAGACGGGCAGCAACCAGGAAGACGGCGTCCGCCGCAGGAACGTGGCTAACATCCTCCTTGCCCAGAAGGGCGTGAAGAAGGACTCCGACAGGCCCGCCTTCGGTGCGCGGCCGGGAAGCCTCCGTGAGGAGTGGCACCGCGCCTGCCGCGCGCTGGGCATGCCATGGGCGCCGCCGCTGCATGGGCTCCGCCATTCGGGGCCTAACGAGGACGTGGCCCGTGGCCGCGCCAGCCTCGAGCAGGTGCGGAGGCGAGGCCGCTGGAAGGTCCCCTCTAGAGTTCAGAGGTGCTCGAAGACGTTCGCCCTCACGCAGTTTCGGGCGAGGATGACCAAGAAGGTGGTGGATATAGGCTCTCGCGCGAGCTCGGACTTGGCCTCAGAGATCACCCGTGCTCTGGCGACGCGCACCAACTACAGCAAGGAGCACAGACACTTGGTGAACGCGATCATCAGCAACCAGGTGGAGGGCCCTCCAAGTGAGCCCGGGCTCCCCTCCTGGGACGGGCGGTCGGCGGGGAACGGTTCCCTTCTCCCCCCTTCTGGGTTTTCTTTCGGCGAGGGGTCAAGGTGCAAAACTGGGGGGAAATTGAATCCATGAATCTTCGGATTGCGTTTCCTGCTTCGGTTGAGGGGTGCTGGTGCCATGGACGAGGAACTGGCTAACCCACGCCCCTCCGGGGGCGCCCCCTATGGGTCTCTGATGGGGACGGGCTGTCGGTTTCTGGCGGTGGGTCTCTCGATTGGTTCTCGGCTCAGCCGTCTCCGGAGTCTTTGGGGAACTTGTTTGGGGGCGGGATTTCACACACCCCACCCCCACCATCAGGCGGTAGAGGTGGTTGGGTCTCCGGACCTTCCTCGGCTGCCAGGGGGAATGGGGATCCGGGCTACGCCACTGGCCTCGGTGAGCGAGCTGTGTCGGCTGACGGTGGCTCTGGCCATGGTCAGTCGGGGTGGCCGCCTCCACAGTCACCAAATGTGCAGGTATTTGAGGGCCACCACGAGAGTAGGTCCCATAGGAGGGCGCAGAGGCGCGAGCGTCGGAGAACGGCTCGCGAGGCTCGCAAAAAGGTCTCAGGCGATGCATCGGGGCGGGCTCGTGGCGATTCTCTCTGCGTCTGCTGCAGCCCAGCGGTCAATTTTCGCGCTGCCCCTCGTGTCGGTGTAGGTTAACCCTGCACCGGGGGGGGCACAAGTTCCTTCGGGTTCCACATTGTGCCGTCGTTGGTCTCCTGGCCCTCGACACCGCCCTCCCCCAGGTCCTCGGCAGCAGGAGGGCCGCCCCCAAGAGGGGCTCTGCGATGTGTTCTCTGGCAACCGAGCGAAGCCACGCCCTGTCTAAAACTCGCTTGGCGTTGCGTTCCTCATCCCTTCCTCCCCCCCTCCTCTTCCTTGTGCCTCCTCGTCGTCCTCCCGCCTCTCTTCCCCCCCCTTCCCCTCTCGCCCGCCCCCTCCCTCCTGCCCTCCCCCTCCCTCTCCCCCCCCCCCTCGGCGGGCCTCGCTTTCATCCATCTTCCTTTGTCGACTTAGGCACGCTTTTCTTTTTTGACGCCCAGCACCTGGGGACTCTCCTGCCCGCCGAACGTCGGCGACACGGCGGAGGACGAGGACGAGGACGAGGAGGACGTCGCGGCGGAACATGTGGGGACCAGGCGAGCAGCAGCCAACGCATAATGAGCAGAAAAGCACCAGCCGAGGCGAAACGTGTGACTCTGAGTCTGGCGACCTCTAATCCGACGAGACTTGGGGTGAAGCTACCGGATGGTGGACGGAGAGAGCCATCGAAGTACGGGGGCGCCCTTCGGGGTGGCTGGGGCGTCGTAACATGGGGCCCAGGGGGCGGTGCCCCACGAGCGCGACCGCTACCCCATAAGTACAACAAGAAGCTCTATGGCTGATGACGAGAAGTGTCCCGACCAGCCCACCCTGAGAAAAAGATGTGTATCACGGCTGCGCCAGTCCGTATGTGCGGGAATGGGATGATTGTTATGAGACCGATTGCAACTCGAGTTGTTAGCTTGTTATCAAGTGGAGGTGAACATCTCAATTGGCTTCCCGATAAGACTTGGCCCGTCTGGGCCCTCTTAGAGCGTGTGGTTGAAAATAGAGCTTGCTCGTATGTATGCATATATAAATACATATATGTATAGCCGCTTCGCGGCGTGACTGCACGCCCTGCTGTAATATCTCTCAGCTTCGCTGGCCCCCCGCCTCTACCCCGAGACGATGCGATGAGAACGGTTCTGTTATTCCCTCTTCCAGAACCCTTCGTCCCCTGGGCCTGCACGGGCGGGGGGTCCGAAGTGTCAGACGGCCCTTTGGGGTTCAAGATGGCCTCCAGATGGCAGCACGGCGCTTTCCCTGCCCCTAGTCGAGCCCTCGGTGCGCCTGGCCTTGCAGCGTGTCGTTCAGGTTGCAGATCTCGAGGTTCCGCTCCCGGTACGCTGGCGGCTCCGCGAACGCCCAGGCCTCGGCGCGGGGAGGGAATCGGACCCAAACATGCTCGCATCGTGAACAAAAGCACTACCGGAATGTTTGAATGCTTTCGGCCTCCCCAGGCCCTCGCTGGACCTGAGGGAAAGGGGCGGGACTTCCGGGGACGGCGTATTGAAAAAATACCTGGCATCGCATGTCTGGGGAAAGGTTTCGACGGTGTCAAAAGACTCCAGAAGCTATCCGCAAACAACTGTCTACATGTGCCTGGTGTCTGCTTGAAACTCCAGGAGGGCATCCAGGGACAACCCGAGACCTCCAAATGTCCACCAAAACCTGAAGAACGCCTTTCCCTCAGGCCCGACACCTCTTGCCCCATGAAAATATCGGACACTCGGACCTCTCATTTGGGGCACTTTCTGACCGCAATCCCGTCAGACCACTGGGTGAAGGTGGTCTCGGGCGCTTCATCTTTCTACACCTTCTTCCCCTTCGAATCACTGCACTCGATTGATAAACACCCCTACCCCACTCGACCAGCTGCCGGCCAGGGTCAATGCGAACCCCGCCCCAACCTTCCATTTCAACAAACAAGTCGAACTATACTTTCCAGCAAATCTGGACCATGCTCGACGCTCCGCGATCACGCTGCGTGCTTTTGACAAAGGACCACAGGGGGGTTGATTCATACTTTCCGACACACGCAGACCCGACATCCGTCAAAAACAGACACGTTGCAATTTGCGGCGAAATCCGCCGACCAAGCTTTGGGTGTGAGAGGCTCTTCGACGCGAAAACCAGCCCAATTAGAACTGAAATGCGACAACCTCCCTTGAATCGTGGTGTTTGTCGTAAGGGACATCGAACAAGCAAACGGGATCGAACTGTGTCGCAATTACGTCGAAAGGAACCCACTTCCCTTTGTCCACCCCCCCCGCCGGGGGGGATGTGCCCCCGGGGGGGGGGGGGAACACGGGAGGCGTCCCGCGGGGGGTCGTCCATAGGGCCCGCGGGGTGCCCTGGGGGTCGTGACCCGCATCCCGTGCGGCCCCCCTCCGTGAAGAAAGAGGACAGAGAGGGGTCCCCCCGTCGGCACAGGAACTCAGGACCCCTCTCCCCGCCCCGACCTCGGCTCGGGCCCCGGCCCTGCCCCCAATCCCGGCCCAGGCCCAGGCCCGGGCTCCAGCCTTGGCCATGGCCCCGGCCCGGGCACCAGCCCCGGGCCCCAGCCCGGGCCCCAGCCTCAGCTCTTGCCCTGGGCCACGCCCTGGCTCCAGCCTTGGCTTCGGTTCGGGCCCCAGCCCCGGCCAGCCCCCGAGGAGACAGCAGACGGCTCTTCGCATGTTCATTATCCTCCTGCTCCTCCTCCTCCTCCTCCTTTTCCTCCTCCTCCTCCTCCTCCTCTTCCTTCGCATGCTCCTCCTCCTCCTTGTTTCTTCGTGTTATTGTGATTATTCGTGTTCTGCTTCATCGTCGTATTCTTACGATCAATAATATTAGTCCGCTGGTATTCGCATGATTGATGCCATTGGTAATACGTGTGTCATTGATCGCATTGTCATTATCAGCACTGATGAACATGTCGAATATATTTGCACATAGTATAGGTTACATTGCGGTCATTACTAGTAGCGTTAGTCTTCTTATGCTCATGTTAACAATATATCCCTAGTATTGCACGCAGTGCCATGATTAGTAATAGTAATATTAGTGCGCTTGTTAGTATGATTCGTATGGTCGTTGGTGCTGGTGGGTATACTATTAGAACTCGAAATATCATGATTACTAACATTAATGGTAAACGTTTGAGGGTTCAGAATACTATTAGTCTTAGTCTTGCCAGTAATCCTGGTATTCCTCGTCCAATTACTGATCATTCATAATAGAATTACTACAAGTATGAGTCGTCGTCCTAGTACTCCCAATAAACTGACTCTCCGCTTTCAAATGATGGGTCTTAGTATTCTTGGTAGTGTTCACATTTGTAGCACCGTTATGTTTATTGCAGATCGCAATATCCCCATTATTCTTAATCGCACATGTCGTGTTTTCGTTTGGTAGTGGTTATTCGCATGAGTATTCGTAGTATGGTTAGTCTTATTACTATTCGTCTTACCCGTTCTCTTACTATTATTCGTCATCAGTACAATAAGTTGCAATCATTGTTCTACCCATTTCTGTTGATTCAAATGATTATTCGTCTTCTCGGTGTTCTTCCTATTCCGCCTCCTCCCCCCTCCTCCTCCTCCTCTTCCTCCTCCTCCTCCTGTTCCTCCTCCTCCCCCTCCCCCTCCTCCTCCTCCTCCGCCGCCTCCTCCTCCTCCTCCTCCTCCTGATCATCATCATCATCATCATCATCATCATCATCATCATCATCATTCCTCCCCTCCCCCTCCCCCCTCCCCTCCTCCTCCTCCTCCTCCCTCCCTCCTCCTCCTCCTCCTCCTCCTCCTCCCTCCTCCTCTCCTCCCCAATCCTCCTCCTCCTCCTCCTCCTCTTCCTGTGGGCCTAACACCCGCCACAACGGGGGATCCCTGGGCGTTGGGGTTACATCCCCACGGCCCTGGCATAGAAAAAAGGCACCTCCCGGACACAGCATCTTGGAGAACTGGCCCCACGGCATTCCGCCTCTGAGTGTGTTTCCCGACTATGCAGCGCAAGCAGGAACGGCCCGGCAAGGGCAGGGGAGGGCGAGGGAAAAGGGAGCGGGGGGGAAGGGCGGGGTCGATCGGGGGGCGCGGCGATCGATGCGGGGGTCGCGGTGGCCGGGCCAACGGCGGACGTGGTGGTCATGTTGCAGAGCGTGGCAATCATTGCGAAAACCGGCCTGGGTGGGTTGTTGGTCGGGTGCCGTGGTGGTCGTGGCGGCTTGGCCGGTGGTCGTGCTGGTGGTGGTGGTGGTCGTGCTGGTGGCGGCCGGCCTCAAGCTTGCGGTGGCCGTGGTGGCTGCCGGTGGGCGCGGTGGTCGTGTGGGCGGCCGCAGGAGTCGTAGTGGTCGTGGTTCTGGTCACGGTCTATGGTGGCAGTCGTGGTCATCAAGACCGCCATGGTGGCGGCTACGGCCGCTGTTGGTGGCAGCGGCGATGGTCAGAACGCCCGTGCCGACTGGCTTAGCGCCTCAGTGCACCGAGCAACATCTCGGCACTGCTGGTCTATAACCGCCTACCGTTTTGCCTCCAGAGCTTCCCGAAGACCTCGGCCCAGTCAGCGTCGTCATTTTTTCGCAAGCGACGCTCCAATCGACGTACACAGGCTGACCTGTGCTGGGGTCTCGTGTGCAAACGTCCAATCCAACCCGCCTCTTCCATAACGCCCGTCCGCGGGCTCAGCCTGTCCCAGCCAGGAACCATCTGCTCTTTCGCGGCGTACAAGCCCGTGAAGCGCGTGTGGGTGGGGGGGGCGTGCCAATCCCGTATGTTGTCGTGGCAGCCTGTGCGGGACCCCATCAACAGGTCAGCAGTAGGCTTGCCACCCGTGAGGGTCCAAGGGCTCATAGCACGGCAACCCAGTGTCGGTGCGTTCGTGCTGGCCGCGAGCTCCAAGCGGGCACACAGGCACACGCAAACGCTTCGTGTGGCACGGCCATCAGCTCATCGTTGCCAGTGTCGTCGTCCTTCTGGGTCGGCGGCACAAGTCTTATGGCCTTCACGATCTTGGACCACGCGCGGGCGCCTCGCGATCATCTGGCTGTGTTCGTTAACATGGATGGTGGGGGTGCCCTGGCATGCGCGGCGCACCTCGCGAGCGTCGCGCACCTGGCTGGCGTATGCACTTGTTCACGATGGTTGTCGATGGCGACCCTTTCCTATGCTGAGACTCGGGTGATACCTTTATGGGTCGTCCTTCGGGGGTTGCTTGATCACTGCTCCATATCAATAGAAACCACCTCCCTCACCCAACTGGCGACGAACCAAGGACAGTGGCAACCCCCTCCCCCACCATGCCCGCCAGAAACAAATGGACAGCGCACTACGCGGCAGAATATTGAGTTGTGTTGGGGGTTAGCGCGAGCACTTTGCATGCTGTGTTGACAAGGGCGGCGGGGGTGCCAGCCTATGGCCTGCTGCGCGCAGGGCCACCATCCGTGTCAAACAACGGCATACAAGTTGCATTTCGCGGCAGAAACTGGAACATGCGCGAGCACCCCGTCATCAATGTTCATCAGTTGTTGACAGGGACGGCGGGGTGGGGGCGCAGATTGCCTGCTGTGCACAGGCCCACCAGACATCAAGGTGGCCACTCCGCCACGACGTGGCATTGGGCGTTCGGCAAAGATGGTGGGGGCCAGCATGTTTCCCGATGTGCGCGGGCGCACCTGGCACACTCTGCACGTTCCCCGAACGTAGCGCACCTGGCGGGGCTGGAGCATGCGGCACGCTTGGCGACATGGCGAATCTGGCGCATCAGGCGTGCCTGGCACGCTTGGGCCCCAGGCACGCATGGCGCACCGCGCGCGCGGCGCGCCTGGCACGCGTGGCGAACCTCGCACCAGCGTCGCGCACCAGGGGTCTGGATTGGTTCCCAGCAGCCGTCCGTCCACGCATGCCCGATGAATATGCTGAGACTCGGGTACTACTGATGTGTTGGGAAGGCTGGTGGAAGTGAGCCAAATAGTCTGCGTCTGGGAGGGCCTCTTGATCACATTTCCCTATTAATACACATCCCCTCCCCCAGGCGACCAGCAGCCAATCTGGACCCATGCCGACCCCCCCCCACACACAAACGCCATCCCTGTTAAAAACAATACAAATACACTAAGCTTCCAATTCTGGTGCATTCGCGGGCGGCACACCGCGACCACTTCGCTTTGATCTTTGACAGGGACGGCGGGGGGGGGCGCGTATTGCTTGCTGCGCGCCAGCCAAACATGCTTGCCAAAAGAATTCTGCAAATTAGCTCGACGGAAGGACACCACACGAGAAGATCCTGAATGTGAATCCGACCCACCCTCACCGACTACGACCGATGGCGATGTTGCCAAGATGCGAGGATACCAGAATGCTCCGGGTGGGACCTTTGAGACCAGTCCGTGGGAACTGTGCGACCTGTGAAACGAGATGGACCTGCGGGTCCCATGGGAAGGGGGTCCCGCTCGTCGCGATGCACTCACAGACGAGGCCGCCGCTCGAGACAACCTCACGAATTGCGCCCTTGGCGTGCTCAAGGGCTATACCCTCTACTGTAAGCCAACGACTGCCCCTATTATTAACATGACCTGCGGGCTCCATTGGGAGGGGGATCCCACCTGAGCTCGCAATTCACTCACAAACGAGGCCCCCTCTGGAGACATCCTCACGGATTGCGCCCTTGGGGTGCTGAAATACAGCACCTGATACAACAAGCCAAGGGCCCGCTCGGATTACTGGCATGATCTGCGGGCTTCATAGACAAGGGCTCCCGCCTGAGACTTCTTCCGAATTCACTGACAAATCAGACTGCTTGCCCCCTTGGGGTGCTCAAAGGTCACGACTGCTACAGTAGGCCATTGACAGGTCGGATTACCAACATGATCTGCAGGCACCATAGGGAGGGGGCTCACGCCTGAGACTTTCTCGAAATTCGCTCATAGACGAGGGCCCCCCCTCGAGATATCCTCACGATCTGCCCCTCAAGGTGCTCAAGTGCTATGCCTGGTGGAATGTCCAGATGGCCCGTTCGGATTACCAACATGATCCGCGGGCCCCGTACGGAGGGGGCTCCCGCTTGAGACTTTCGCGCAGTTCGCTCACCGACGAGGGCCCCACCTCGAGAGATCCTCACAACTTGGGCCCTCGGGGTGCTCAAGTCTTACGCCTGGTAGAATAATATGCTGAGCCGCGCGGGTTACTAACATGGAGTGCGGACCCCATGGGGACCCCATAGGGAGGGGGGGACCCCACAGGGAGGGGGGGACCCCATAGGGACCCCATGGGGAGGGGGGGATCCCATAGGGAGGGGGGGAACCCATATGAGGAGTGCGGACCCCATGGGGGTTCCCATTTGGACCCCCCGCGTTCCACTCACAGCCGAAGCCCCCGCCCGAGACATCCTCACGGATTGCGCCCTTGGGGTGCGGTGCCCGGTGCAATATCCAGATGACCCGCTCGGATTGCTTAAATGATCCGCGGGCCCCTTAGGGAGGGGCCACGAAACGCTGTACTAGGTGGGGGAAACGTATGCCTGCGCGCCACTTGGACCTTCGGTGGGGCTCCTAATGGGGCCACGAAACGCTGTACTGGGCGGGGGAACCGCATGCGGACTGCGCCACTGGGACCTTCGGTGGAGCTCCTACTGCTTTCGATCTCTCCTTCCGCTGCCGCGTTCCCCATGCGGTGAACGCGCCGCGCCCGACGAGCGCTGCCTTGAGGTAGATGCTGCCCACGGTGACGCGCTTGGCGCTCAGCCGGTGGTCGCCGTGGAGGGACACGAAGTGGAGCACCTGATCGGCCCCGCAGGGAGGGGGCAGACGATCGGATGGGACGTAAATGCAGGGCATCAGATCGGGGGCGCGCAAACATGGATCGGGGAAGGTACCCTCCCAAAAATGCGGCCGGTGCCGCCTTATTCGACGGCAGGAATCCGCGATTTCCCGTGAAAACGAGACCCGTCGCTAATGCACGCCACCTTGATCCATGTTTGAGATCGCCTAAACAATAGGGGGGGGGCCAGCTTAGGGGGGGACATCGGCCTGAAATCGGCGATACATTGCCGATAGATCGGCGATGGGTCCCCGATGGTGAAGCCGCACGGTCCTGAGCGTGGTGGGCCATCGGGCCCACATCGGCGATGGAATGGCGATTGGGGGTCGATGCAGCCCCCCTGAGCCAATCAACCCGTTTAGCGGATCATCTCACGAAGCGGTTTTCTCCAGCGCGTGCCGGCGCCAAGGGCGCCAATGCATCGAGTCGGAAGCATCTGCATGCAGCAAGGCTCGTATCCTCTTCCCTCTCCTTTTCAGCTCCCCCTCCTGTCATCCGACCCGAGACGGCGGCCTCGAAGACCAAGACTGCTCGAGGATAGAGGTTCTGTGTTTCCTGGGCCCTCACTTCTGTGACGTGATCGGAACGTATCCTGGGACAGAGTAACGGGTCGATTGCGATGCCCGAATATCACCAAACAACTTCCAACGAGTTGGTACGGAAATATCTGCCGCGTGGGGCCCCTTGCGGGGCCCCTCGCGGCGGGTAAGAATTGTACGGCCCCCTTGGGGGGCCGTCAGGCTGCGTGGCAGGGTGTCGGGGGTCCTGCTTCCAGCGCCAATATAATTTTCACGTTCCCAGTGTGATGGTGCTACTTTTTCCCACTGTAAATTGTTGCTGTCCGCGCGAGGGGGGGGACAGGAATCCGCCCTGGCCACTGTCCCCTCATCGCGAGTTTTAGATTTCTGGGGGGGCCCGGGACACTCTAGAATGCATGAGATTTGCGCCCCAAGGCACTGATGCCTGGCAACTCACCCCAGGTTCGAATTCAGAGACAACGATTTATCGAGAAATATTCTGGATTCGCATTCCAGTCCACGATCCGTTGTCAGCTACGCGAGATTCGCTCTCCTCAGTGTCACGACCCAGCGCAAATTACACCAACTTCGCGCTCGCGAAAACAGAATCACTTGTAATGCCAGATTCGCGATCCAGAAGCCAGAACCTCCGCGTCAACTACACCAGAATCCAACATAAATGACGCCTGATTCGCGCACAAGGCCAGAATCCAATATACATGACGCCATATTCGGGCCCACGATACCGAAGTCCTTTGCACACTACACCACGTGAGCGTTTCTGTAGACTCGACCCCCCGAACATGTTCAATAATCCTTTATGAATTACGCCAGATTCGGCCTGCCGAGGCAAAGTCAGGCTCGCGCTCGAGGCCAGTCATTCGATCAGGTTCGCGCTCGAGGCCAGTCATTTTGTACATTGCTCCAGATTTGCGGTCCCGAAACTACAATCTGAAAACTACACTATCCGTTGTTGGGAGCGCTGAAACGTGGGAGTGCGGCAGGTACATGCGGGAGAAAGCAAAGGTGCGCCAAAGCTTAGACAGAGAAGATGAGGAAATGAGGGGTTGGTGAATCATCGCTGCGGGCCGCACGGCGCCAATGGCTTCGCTTGGGCGGCCGGCTTGTAGCACGCATTCCAGCGCACTCCTGGGGCAGTCGCGCGCCAACCACGCATGCTACCCGCGGGGGATAGTAAGTCGAAGCGCGAATGGTTGCCACCGAGACAGGGCTGAGGCCAAATAGCTGCTAGGTGCGGGCTGCAGCGTGCCATTGGGCGAGGCACCGCAGAGGGGGTCTAAGGCTGTGGTGGTTGCGGCGGCTGTAGCGTTAGGTCGGGCATATCCCCCCACAGGCGGAATGTGGACGAAAAAAATACCCCCAAAAATGCTCCAAAATAGACAAAAAATCAAACAATCGTCCCCAGACTAGGTTTTACTATTTTTGCATGCTCCTCCTGTAGAGGGGCAGGCCCGACATAAGTCTAAGGCTGTGGCGGTTGCGGCGGCTGCAGCACCAGGCCGTGCGTCGGCGGGCCCGCGCCGACGCCGGAGGCGCAGAGCGCCCCCCCCCGCCAATAGGAAGCCCCCATGGCCGTCCGCCATGATGGGCCTGTTTTCCACCACCACCACCGTAAGTTGGAGGGGGGAAGGAGGTGGAGGATGATGACGATGAGGAAGAGGACGAGGAGGAGGAGGAGGAGGAGGAGGAGGAGGAGGAGGAGGAGGAGGAGGAGGAGGAGGAGGATGAAGAGGAGGAGGACGACGACCCCCTCCCCCTCCAACTTATGGTGGTGGTGGTGGAAAACACGCCCATCACGCCAATCATACGACGGGGACCTTCACCGGCGAAGCAAGCGTAGGGTCCCGAGAACGCGGGACTGGTGGCCGCCGTGGCAGTGGCCGCTGCGAGCCTCCTCTGAATGAGCCCCCCATCCGCCCGTGCACATACCCAACCCTTTCGCCACGCAGTGCAATATAACAACTGTGGTGCAGCGGGCGCGAGGCGAGGGGTTGGTGATGGAAGAGATGCCAGCCGAGGAAGCTAAAAGAAGGGAGGGGGAGATACCAAAGCGGGGGAATATCGCGATTACCTATATCTGGACAGCGTAGGCCGTGGGCGGCCACTTATGTCTGAAATCATCGGAGCCACCTCGGCGAAGGTGAACAAAAGGCGCCGATTTTACATACAAGATGACGAACCCTGGTGGCTGTGGCTCGGTTTGCCTCCGTTTCCCAGGCCAACGCCGTGGGGCAGTAGGCGAGTTCCACCTCCTCTTCCTCATCCTCCTCCTCTTCCTCCTCCTCCCCCCTCCCTTCCTCCCTCCCTCCCTCCCTCCCTTCACGTCGCACTCCCCCCCTTCCTCCCGCCCTTCCTTCGCCGTTGTTCCCCCCATCCGCTGTTTCGCGCGCCATTGAGGTCAGGCCCCTGTAGCGCCCCGCGGCGACGGCCGACGGCCGCCGCTCTTTACAGCTGCTGGCCGCTGGACGCCCTTTTCATTATGTTTCCAACAGCTGGCCGCTGGGCGCCAAGGCTTTCCAGCTGCTGGCCGCTGGGCACCCCTTTGTTTTTTGCATGGATGCCGTCTTTTTTGTGGGCCACTGCCTCCGACTGGAGGCGGTGCTGCCTGCTTGTCACGCAGGCGACTGGCCGCAACCCTTCGGCGCACACGCGCTGTCGCTGCAAGCGAGGAGCAAGGCCGTCCCGCGAGGCCCGCAGCGGCTCGTGCGGATGTGCCATCGGTCCACCTGTCTCGCACGACTGGAGGACTCGCGCGCGCGGGCCCGGGCCTCCTTTCGCCGCTCGGATCATCTACATGAGATCCTGCGTGCTATCCTTGAACAGACCAGACGGTTGTGGGCTCCACCTTTCCGTCTGGTCTTCTAGTTGCCAGGGTGCCCGTGCGGACGTGGCGTCTCGCCACCTTTTCTCTCACGCGGTCTTTCAGGTACTTCGCTGCTGTCGTTGTCTGGTTGGCTGGTTGATGTAGGGTGGGTCGGCTCTTCCAGCGTTCTGCCTCTTGGCTGGAGGCGTCGCTGTCCTGCTTGTCACGCAGGAGACTGGCAGCAACCTTTCGGCACTTGCATGCTGTCGCTGCCAGCCCGGGAGCTCGGCCGCCACATGAGACCTGGTTGTTGGCTCGCGCGGGCGCGGCGTCTCACCGCCTTCCTCGCGCGACGGGTCAAGCCCCGCGTCCGTTGGCCTGGGCCTCTTTGTTTTTCTGCACGCCCCCCTGCGCGTTCTCCTGCATTAGCTCCTCGAGAAGGCCAGACGGATGTGGCCCCCCACCTTTTGCGCCTGGCCTTCTTGCCGTCTGGAGGCTGCGCGCGCGGGCGCGGCGCCCCTCCACCTTTCTCGCGCGGAGCCTTCCAGAGGTCTTCGCTGCTGTCGTCCTCGGTGAGAGTGGGCGGTCGGGGGGGGGGGGGGGTCGCGGGTCGGTCTTTTGCTGGGTGGGGCGCGGGGTTGTAGGTCGCACGTCGCGACCCCGCCCCGCTATGGCTAGGGGTCACAGTGCCGTCGGTGGGGGCGAACCCTAGGCCTGGTGCGCGGTGTTGCTCGTGCTCGGCTGAGTCGCATCAGCCCTGCGCTCCGCCTAGTCGGCGTTCGGGTGAGCTCTTCCTCTGACATGGAGACGGCGAGGGTGGCGACCTAGGGCGGACCGCGGGGGCGCGGGCGGCGGCAGCCCCCCCCCCCCCCTGCCCCTCGCCATCCCACCTGGCGGGCGCGGGCAGCGCTCGTCCTGCCCCCCCGCCCTTCCAGCCCGCCTCGAAGTTTGATCCTTGTCTCTCCAGGGCATCCGCGACGAGGTGTGTGTGGTTGCTGGGTGCTGTGGTTGGGTGGTGGGCGTTGGCGAAGGTCGTGCTTGCGCGCAGGACGCACGACTTCGCGGCGACTTGCGCCGGAGGTGCTCCCACGCATGCGCCCCCTAACGCCTGCAGCTCAACGTGGCGACGTTGACCGAGGTGATCCCACGCATTCGGGGCTTCCTCAGGACTTCGCGCCCCAACGCCACGGTGTGTACGGGGCCACGTCCTGGCGTTGCGGGGCCGGTTGTTTGTCGCGGCCGCCCATCTTTGCTGGTGTTGGCGTGAGATGCTGGTGGGGGGGCGTGGAGCGGGGAGTGGGCGTCCTGCTGGAACGCTGCGGGACAGTCTGTCGCGCCGTGGTGGGCGCACAGGCGTCCAAGGATGCATTCTGGACTGCATGATGCACCTTGGTTGCTAGCTCCGTCTCTATCACTGTGGTCGATGATCGGATGCTGGTTTCTGGGGTGGTGGTGTTTGTGGCTGTTGCGAGGGTAGGTCGACTCGCGTAGTGCGCGTTGGCCAGTTGCTTCTATGCGCTGGCAATTCGGTTGGATGCGCGCTGCGCTGGCTGGACGGTCGGTTGGACGTTGCTACTGGGCGGCGCGGGGCGTCGAAGGAGAGGGCGCGCTGCGAGTC